ATGTTGTTCTTTCCATTTTGCGGCTGAGTCCAATGATGACAGAGAAGTGAAGTGACTTGCTCACACAGCCAGGAGTTCGAAGCCATGGAGTCTGGTCCAACCACCTGCACTATTCCTAAGAAGCCGGTGCCAAGCCAGTGAATGGTGAACCAGTGTCTACTCAACACCTTTACCTGAATGGTCTACGGGAGCCACGGACTCAGCATTTACAAAACTGAACTTATTGTCCTTCCCCCAAAGATTTGCTCATCCTGCATTTGCCCAGGAATCTGATGAATGACCTCGGTTCTCCCTTTTCCTCTCTCCCACCCCGTGAGCAACCTTTTAGTAAAGCCTGTTGATTGCACCTCCTCAGTGCCTTGGCTCCGTGCCAGTGCTCTCTGCAGAGGCCAGATGGCTCTCCTTTCCCACATGGACACCTGTCATGCTCCACTGTGCTGGCCCCACCGCTCTCTGTTCCTCCACCAGATTCTCCCAAGATACCCAGGTCCTTCCTATGGCCTCGGATATAACCCAAAACTCTTAGCTTATCAGGCAAGGCTTCTTAGGTCTGGTCCCATCTTCCCACTCATTCTCACAGACCTTCCTCTTGTCCTGAAACCATCTCTTGCTTTTCTGTTGATTGGGAACAGTCCTCCCCACTTTCCTGTCAGCAGTCTGCTCGCCCCTCATGCCTCAGCTCAAACGTCACTTCCTCAGGGCATCCGTCCTGCCCACCACGTGGCCAGCTCCACACTCAGCCGGGTAGTCCCGCTACTCTCCCGTCACACCCTGCACTTGCCCTCCACCAACAGTTGCCACATCTTCGTTACTAATCTCTTGGTCAATATTTCACGGAATTTCCTGCTGGAACTCTTAACACAAGAGATTGTCCTGTGTACTACAGGTGATAAATAAATATTTTATTTTAATCATTTATATTAAATTATGATTTATAAACTCACTTTCTCTAACCAAAAAAAAAAGGTTAAAAAAGCCGGTGCCGAAAGAGTTAAATATTCCCAAGTCACAGGGGAGAGGGCAAGTGCAGGTTCAGGGGGAGGTGGCATTTCCTCCTGCTGCCGCCAGGGGACAGGCAGCGCCTTTCTTAAAAAGCAGTTCCTACTGGCTGAAGAGCTTTCATCCCAAAGAAAACCAGCAGTATCCCCATCTCCTACACACACTTCGAGAGCCCAGAAGGTCAAATAAAGGGCAAGGTAGAGGTGGGCGTGGGACTGGACCTGGGTGAGGCCTATCACGGAAGCAAGAGAGCTTTAAGCTAGAGACCCTGGGACCCATTTGGGAGAGAGATGCGGGCACCCCTTGGACAACGGAGCGACTTCCCAGGGCTGGACTTCTGGGAAGTGACACTACAATATCCAGCTTCCTTAAACACCCCACATCACCTAACACCAGCCCAAATCCTGTAAGTCCTAACATCTTAATGAGACACCTTGTGGTGCCCCAAAGTGTGCGTCCTCCCTAATGCGGTGAGTAGTAAACCCCGCTCCTTCAACCAGGGGCAGCAGTGTTTTTGGCAGTCTTTGGAATAAATAATGGAGGAGAAACTCAGAGAGGTCGATAAATTTGCCCAAGAGTACAAAGTAGTGAGTGACAGACCGGCTCTATCTATGTTCTCATTTGCTTAATGATCTCTGCTATTTGAGCACTCGGTGTCTCAATTTCCTCCTCGGTAGTTAAGCAGCTAGACTCTGCTCTCCAAAGGTCCCTCCAGCTTACACCTTCCCAGAGGCAAGGGCATGAAAACATTGTCAAAGGGACTCCCCCACTTTGGCTGGGAACGCGCTGGAATCTGAAGTCATTCCCACAATGCCTTGAGGCTAGGAAGGTCTGATAATGAACTTGAAGAATGGTGCATCCTGGGAAATACCTCTGGGAGCCTGGGACCCTGCCCACCTACCTCCTACCCCTCCTCTCAGACATCCCCTTTCAGTTGCTCGAATTTGCACAATACCTGATCGCCACTCCCTTTCCCCACTAGGGGGGGCAATGTGCGGTGACTACTGGGAACTCTCACCCTGCCGACCAGCCTCCTGTTCTTACATTAACCTCTCCTCCAGCACAGTGAGGGGGCATCTTAGCAGCCTCTGCACAAATGGTAGGGAGCTGAAAAAGAAGGATTCCTCCAACTTTTGAGTCCTGAGAATCTGCAAGTTGGTGGAAGGATGTAGCAACATGTTGCACAGAAACCTAAAAGACACTTTTAGAAGGGAGGTGGGAGACCTTCCCTGAGGGCCACCTCCCGATTTCTGTAGAACCATCTTAGGACACAGACTGCAGACTTGGGCAGTTGAGCAGGGAGTAGAGCAGGCCCAGGGTGGAAAGGCAGGTCAGGGGTGAAGAGACTGGTTACCGGTTCAATGGGGAAAGACAGTTCTAACCATGAGTTTGGCCAGCTGGCACCTGCCGCCCAGGAGAGTGAGCTCCCACAGGAGGAGGTATAAAAGCTGAGGCTGCTTGCCCAGCTGCCTTCTATGAAATTCTAGGCTTGAACTATTAAGAGCCTTCCCCAATTTTTTTCCCAACACCAAATCGGTCCCCTATCCCAACATCCATACACCTGTGTCACTCCCTCTGCTGGGTCTGTTTCTTAGAGGTGATGAACTGACAGAAGGGAGGGGGGTGAGGAAGGGCAAGGGTTCTCATGCAAATGAGGGGGCTCCCCTCTCTCCTAGGCAATGCCTCTGGATCCTCTCTCCATGGGGCTGAGGGGCTGGCGGGAATGATTCAAGGTTGGGCAAGCTTTGGGGAGCAATCTGGGGCCCCCTCACGATGCTCAACAGCTCCTTGGAAACCAATACAGGCTCCAACATGGGAAATGGATGGAACTAGAATGTTTTTATCTCATCTCCACGTCTTTGTCATGCCCAAAAGCTCGTGTTTCCCCCTTTCTTCCTAACTGATAGAATCCAACTCACCCTTAAAACTCAGCTCAAACATTGCCTCTTCTGGGAAGCTGGGCTTGACCTCCTCAGGGGAGAGTCAGGGCCCCACCCTGGCGCCCACTCCCAGCCTTTATGAAGCTGTATGCCTCCGCCTCCCCGACCAGGTGGGGAACTTCTTGAGGGTAAAGACTGTCCTGGTCCAGGGGTCTCCTTGGTGGGGTACACTGGGGTACAGGAAGAATATATCTAGAAATTTCTATTTGTTTCTAGCTTACCCTTTATTAAAATTTATATTGTTAGATACTCATACATAATGCAGCAATGTTTCTGTAATCAGAAACAATTCTAAATATGAGAGCTACATACTCAAGAACCTTGAATGATGTGGATGCAAGTGATCAATGAAAGACTGAGGGACGTTGCCTGGATTTAGTCTATCATAATGATCATGTCTGTTAGCTGGATGACATGGGGTAAGGTTTCCCTTTCTCAGGCCCTAACGAAAGAAGGAGGTTGGATCAGATTGTCTCCCAAATGTCTCTCAGCATTAGTGTTGCTAAGAGATGTCTGAGTTGCTCATTCTCCAGTAAGGCACAGTGTAATTTAGTCAGCAGTAATCCTAGCAAATGTTTCATTTGCACCAATTACATGCCAGATTCTCTGGTCTAAGGGCTCAGCATGGATTAATTCATTTATCCCCAGAACCGCCCCATGCAGGGAGAAGACAGGCCCAGAGAAGTTAAATAGCTTGTTCAAGGCCGCATAAAGCATGTGGCGGAAGCTGTGTCCCGGGAGCTTACACCCTCAGTGTTGCAGGCTGGCTTCCCACTGCAGGTCTCTGCCTCTCGTTGCCCACGGGCTTTCTTGGAAGTCGTACAAGGAAAGCCTGTGCACAGAGCAAGCCAGAAGTCCCCAGCCAATGAATAACAGGAAATTGGTGTATAAGTACCCTTACCTTTCGGGGGAGAACTGCAAGGAATGTGTTCTACCTGCCTCCCCAAAGCCCCATGGGATGAAGCGCCAAGCTAATGGGCTTGATGACTCCATGTTTACCAGCTGCTGTTCCTACCTTTTCTCACCTGCCCCCACTTTACCTGGTAAGTTACTCTCTCTCTGCTCCTTAGGAACATCAAGTCAAGGCAGACCCAGGTGGGCCTTTGCAGCCTAGCTGGAGAGTCTGGGCCCTTAACTTTCACAATCTTCCTTCCTCCACAGGACAAAGGCTTTGCGTGAGTCAGGTAGGCCCAGGGCCTGCCATTTACCTGCTATAATGATCTCAATTTTGTCTGTGCCTTCCCTCCTAAAAAAAAGGTATGTTGGATTCCTAACACCCCAGAATGGGACCTGACTTATTTAGGAATGGGGTCTTTACAGAGGTAAGTAAATAAAGATGAGATCTTTAAGACGGCCCTACTCCAGTGTGACTGGTGTCCTTATAAAAACGGGAAACTAGGAGAACTCCATGCGGTGATTGGAAGCTATGCTGCTCCAGGCCAAGGACTTCCAGGAGCTAGGAGAGAGGCTAGGAGCCGATCAGTCTCAGAGGCAGCATGATGGGCTGACACCTTCACCCCAGACTTCGGGCCTCAGACTATGGGAGAACTATCTGATGCCTAAGCCTGTAGGTAGTACTTGGTTGCTGCAGGCCCAGGAATCGAACATCACAGCTATGGGACATCTCCAAGCCTCACTCTCCTCCTCGGCAGGATTCTTCAGACGATTAAATGAAAAAGCATGTAAAATGCTAAGCACAGAGCCTGGCACATGGAAAGCACTCACTAAGTGAGTAGCTGCTATTGTAACCGAAACTGGCAAGGCCACTTCCGCCCCACACACAGGCCTCAGGGAAGGCGGTTCCTTGGACAAGTGGTCAGGTGAGCCTTATGCTCTTTCCTCTCTCCCCCAGAACCCAGGAGAAAGTGAAAAACAGAAGCTGTCATGTCCAAGGGTCACCCCAGAGTTTGTACGACCTGGGGTGGCCACTAAAAGGTGCAGGGGTTCGCTTCCGGTATGGGCCAGGGCCCGGAATGAAGGCAGGAAAGGAATGTGAAGTAGCGCCATCGTGAGGGACTGTGTCAGTTCAGTTCTTGGTTGCCAGCAACAGAATCCACTCTGGTTAGTTTAATTAGTAAATGAATTTATTGAAAATGTAAAACCAGAGAGTTTGAAAGCATACAGCAGGAAATGCAACCTCACTGTGTGGGAAAGGGGCTGTTTCTGCGAAAATGCACCTGCCACCAGTGACACACAGAACTGAATGCCAAAATCTACTGCTGTCACCTCCAAAGAGCCTGGCGATGATGGGTTGGGGGTGAAGGGGATGCAGTGCGGGTGAGTCAGGCTGAGTCCTGGCTTCAAACCTCCTACTCTGGAGTCACTCCAGTAGAAAGATGTGCTCATGAATTGATTCACTGATTTCACAGATCCTTATGGACTGTCTCCTTTGTGCCAGGAGCTATACTGAGTGCCAGGGATAAAGCGACGGAAACAACAAAGGTGTGTGGTTCTTGCTGTCATGGTGCTTGGAATCTACTGCACAAGGCAGAGCCCAGACAGGGGAGTGGAGCCCAGGGAAGAGGAAAGAGGCAGGGCTCTGCTGGGGAGGGGAGGGCCGAGCAGGGAGCAGAGAGGGAGGAGGAACTCTTTCAGAAGGCAGTGAAGCCCGGCCCTGCATCCTGTATAGAGCTTCCTTGGACTTCAGCATCTCAGGAGAGCACAGGTTCTCTGCAAAGAGAAAGGAACTTGTGGGCTGTCATCACTGATAGATCCCTGACCGCACCATAAATGAGCAGCCATGGTTCTCCCAGGCTAGAAGGGAAGGGTCTTCCCCAGGGGCCTCAGGAGCACTACAGACCCACTCCGAGAAGAGGGACAGGGCAGAGACAGCTCACACAACGTCAAAGGGCACTTCTACAGTGACCTGCCAGGCTGGCCCTGGAAGGCGTGCTCAGTCCATGTGCAGTTTCACAGGACACAGCTACCACTTGCTCCTCAGAAGGCAGCGAGGAAGGAAGGCGCCTTGGGTGTGAGGGGTGGGCCCTGCGCAGCCTTACTTGAGGCCCGTCCCAAGGCAGGTTTTGAGGCACTCCTCCTTCCCTGGGAAATTGTTCTCCTTCTTTCTGCAGCCGCCATAGGTGAAGGTCTCACAGAGCCTTGAGGTGGCATTGAAGAACCACCTTTGCTTTAGGGCCCTGCAGGGTCCGGTGTAGGGTGGCTCCATGCAAAAGGCAGGCGGTGAGGCTGCAGAGATGAAGGGGGCTCGGTCAGTGGGAGGCTGGTTAGCACAGGCGGCCTGTACAACGTGCATAACCAGATCATGTCACCAAATAGAGGGTGGGGCTGAGATGTGAAATCTCCATCTGATGACCTACTTTCTAGGGTGCTGTTACTAATTTTATTAGGTGTGACAATGACATGGTGATGAGGTTAAAAAGTAATATCCTTAAATGAAGCATGTATGGATTAATTGGCATGATGCGTGAAATTAGCTTCAAAAAACTCCAGAAAAGAAAAGGATATACATCAACAGCGTTCTCCAGATGCTAATAATTGTTGAAGCAGGATGATGGGTAACTGGGGGCTTATTGTACTATTCTCTATACTTTTGTGTATTTGTGAAAGTTTCCACCATTAAAAAAGAAACGTTTTAAAGAATCATGCTGCAGTGGAGAAAGGCACTAAAGAAAACATAGGTGTGTTAACTTTGGTGACCCCAGAGGGACAGGAATAATGCACTATTGAGTGGGTACGATATTGTGGCTTATAATAAGAAATTTATATTTAGTCTTCTCAGTCCAGGCACTGAGCTCCTAAAAACCTTGGAATTCCCTAAGTGATGAGAGTGACGAAGGTGTCTTTTGTTACATTAATGAGGTAACATTTGGAAAGCACCTAGAAACCATAGATGGGGGGCTGGTTGCCAGGGGTCCCCTGCTGCTCCAGCCAGATCCCTGGCTCTGGGGAGGCAAGAAGGGCTGAGAAGGGCTGAGAAGGGCTCGGTCGCCAATGGCCAAAGGTTTCATCATCAGGGCAACATGATGAGGTTTCCATAGAAGCCCAAAGGACAGGGTTTGGATTTGGTGAGCACGTGGAGGTTGGGGAGAAGGGCAATCGGGGAGAGGGCATGGAAGCTCCTCCCTCTGGAGGCTCCTGAGTGATATCCTTTTATAATCAACCTGTAACCTAGTAAGTAAAGCATTTCTCTGAGACTCGCCAGCAAATTAATCAAACCTGAGGAGGGGGTTGTGGGAGCCTCTGATCTATTGCCAGTTGGTCAGAAGCACGCTGGACAGTCTGGACTTGCCAGTGGTGCCTGAAGTTGAGGAGGGGTTGCAGTGTTGTGGGGCTGAGCCTTTAACCTGTAGGAGTTCATCTCCAGGCAGATGGTGTCAGAACTGAGGTAAATGGCAGGACACTCAGTCAGTATCCACTGAGAATTGGAGGACTGTGTGATGGGGTTGGAAAAACCAAACACATACCAGTGAGGGAATTCAAAACAAATCTCCCCAGAATGTGCCACTTTGGCATATGGAATATTCTGAACTAAAGGCAATCAAGACCCTATGGCTCTAGAGGAACTTTTGTCCTCCCCTTAACTACCCAGGAGTATCTAAGTTGGGATCTTTCCCAGAATAGGAGTTACTACCAGAGACAACTTTTATCTGAGTGGCTATCTGTATGGCCAGGCAAACATCTAATTACCAAACACCTGCTCTTCTGTTGCCCTGTGAACTGCCCTCCTCCCCTTTAAAACCCCAGGCCCCGACCCAGCCCTTAGCTCAGGATGGGCAGATACCCTGTTGTAAGTTTCTGTCTTTGAACCTCTCACGTGTATGGGGTTCTGTGATATAATGAGTCATATATTTCCCAGGTATATTTGGTCTTCATCCATAGTTCCTGAAAACAGTTCAGATCCTTCAAGATGAATTGGGTGTCGTGTGGTGTTAATGAGACTTTTGGACCCCACCCAAGGCGGGGGTGCTGGAGGTTGAATCAGCCAATGGCCAATGATTTAATCAATCATGTCTATGCAGTGAAGCCTCACAAAACCCGCTGAGAAGGGCCTGTCTCTCTCTTGCATCTTGCCTCTCTGTTGGGGGGGCGCTTCCACACTTGGGCAGCCAGAACGCCTCCACATGCCACTGAGCCAGGCCCCACGCTCTATGAGGATAGAAGCTTCTTTATTTGAGACCTTACCCTATATATCTCATCTCTTCATCTGGCTGTTAACTTACATCCTTTATTAAACTGGTAAATGCAAGTGGCTTCCTGAGTTCTGTGAGCCACTCTAACAAATTAATCAAAACTAAGGGCAAGGTTGTGGGAGCCTCCAATCTGTAGCCCGTTGGTCACAAGCACAAGGGACTGCCTGGGGCTTGTGACTGGCATCTGGAGTTGGGGGTGGAGGGCAGTCTTGCAGGATGGAGCCCCTAACCTGGGGAATTTGGTGCTGTCTCTGGGNAAATTTTCACAAATGCCTAGGGTGCCTAAATGGTTTTCTTGGCTTCACTGGAGATGGATGGTAATTATAGATTTGCTTTGTTTATGTCACCGTATTCCTATTATGTTAATATGTGTGTGCAAATTAGTTAGTAGTTTAAAACCTATACATACTTAAGGTACTATACAAGAAGATATGTCAAAGAAATAATCAATCCTCCCAAGTTTCCTTCATATGCTACATCTATAGCTTTTCTTCTTCCTTCCTAATTACAACCCTTAAATAGAATTCGTGCCTCATATCGAATTTACCGAGTATCATAATTCCTCCAGGTGGTAAAGATACCTCGAGACAAGTGCTGGGCATAGAAGCCACAGGGCATAAATCTGCAAAGAAGTAAAAAGCTAACCTTTTCAAACAATATGGCTTCTCTCTCACTTACCAACTTTACATTTCCCTGTATGGCCCCGGAAGATGACTGGTTAGCCAGAGACGGGTAAGATTCCTCAAGGGAGGAACAACCTAAGACAGGCACAGTCGCAGGGGGGCCATCAGGTGAGAAATTGGGGATCAGCAGAGGTGAGGCTTAGAACCTCTCCCCCTGTGTTCTGAGAGAAATCTTCTGCATCTGTGGATGTTTTATTGCCCTTGTCTAGCTTGGATTAACACTTAGTCTACAGGCACAAACCTGATCATCTACATTTGCTCTCTTACAGCACTAAACTATGTTTTCTACCTTTATCTTGCATCTACCACCACTTCAGCATTTTATTAAAAATAATAATGATAAAGAGAGAAATGTGGTATCCACATATAAATCAAGTATAAAAATCAAACGAATATTCATATTTGGACTGATTGTTTATAGTTCATAATGCATGATCAAAATAAAAAGTTTCTGTGATGACTGCCCTTGTACTGTTCACCATGTAACTTATTCACTATGTAAGAATTTGTTCTCCATGTAAGAACTTGTTCATTGTGCTTCAGAAGATTGGAGACTGACGAAAATTAGGCTTGGGGGTGGATTAATGATTGTACATTGAGCATTGACCCCCCTATACAGAATTTTATTGTTGTTAACAACCATTTGATCAATAAATAGGAGAGATGCCCTCACAAAAAAAAAAAAAAGTACACACTTCCAATTGTAAAATAAATAAGTAACCGGGATGTAATGTATAGCATAAGAAATACAGTCAAAATATTGTAACAACTTAGTATGGTGATAGCTGGTACCTAGAATTATCATGTATATAAATGTTGAATCACTGTGTTGTACACCTGAAACTAATGTAATACTGTGTGTCAACTACCCTTCAATAAAAAATAATTATCTACAAAAAAAAAAATGTGTGCTGTGGGGATGTGGATGTCAATCCTTTTAACAGCGGCTCTCTTTTTCAAGTGAAATGTTACCAACAGAAACTGGGGTGTGGGGCCCAGAGCCCCATCCTCAGTCCTCTCCCAACACCCCCAATTCTCCCACTCCTTCCTACCCCAATGCTCAAGAAGCATCTTCTGCAAACCCCTGGACATCATGTTCTTTAAGGTCTTAAGCAGTGCCACTCACTGGCTGTGTGATCTGAGGTGAGACACTTATCCATGCTGAGCCGCAGCAGACTTATCAGTGCAAAAAGCACAACAATCCCAACCTCAGGGACTTGTTGAAAGGATTAGAGGTGACATCCAATAAGTAAGTCGCAATAATCAAAATGCAATAAATGTTAGTTATTAGAGTCGTTGTTAGATGCACCCTTGAAATCTAATTTAATGTTCCAGGTTTTTATTCAAGCTGTAAGTAATCTATGGACAAAATTGCCCATGGAGAGTCCTTGAGCCTCCCCTGCCATCAAAGTACAGTAGACATGTCTCCCATGACCAGCCACGTTGAAAACCAGTACTGCCAGATTTTCCAACATTAGGACAAATAAATGCTTCTTTTCAGAGCACCAGATTAGTAAATGGTATTGTTTTAAGGACTATAATATATCAAAAACACAGATTTTATTATCCAAGAACAAGAAGAATGATCATTATATATTCTAGGCTTAAGTTGTCAAAAATGTAAAATATTTTTATGAATACTTAAGATGATAACTTCAAAGTCTCTGACTCCTGCAATGTGTTTATTCAGCCACAGACTTCTTAACCCCTTCAATATCCTATCAAGTATACTGGGGAGACAAAAATCCTGTGATATACAGGCCAAAAGCATATAACAGTCCAGAAAGCAGAGAGAAAGCTCTCACTTAGGGGAAAAACTGCACTGATTTGGGAGTTGCCTTCCTGCATATAAGGAATCACCATTCTCTAAAAGATGTTCTTTTCTGAAACTGGACATCATATTCTGAGAGATGATAACATTTGAGCTTGACATCTGGAATGAGTCACATTCAGATCTGAATGTCAAGCTGTTGGGTTTCAGCTGAGCAGGGTCAGGATTGGGGTGAGGCGGGGTCAAGCCAATACAGAGTAGCATCCTGTCTTGATTTAAAATGTTAATATTTTGTTCACAATGGACTTTTTGCATTAATTTTGATTTTTAAAAACCATTGCATTCAAATATGATTTACCTGGATCATTAAGCTGTTTCGTCCGCCTTATGCTCTGTGTCAGAGGTGAGTACCTTACTCACCTCGCCCTAGTCCCAGCCTGGCTGCTGAGTGAAGCACAGTCCCCTCTCGGGGTATCTGGTAGGTACCTGGCTGGATGTGTTGGGTATTTTCCTGAGAGCAGACTTGATAGGGACCTAGATGAAGGTGACCCCAGGGCCCTAAGGAGGGCAGGGTAGGCATTACAGAGCAGAAGTGGTCGGGAAAAGGAAGGCTGTGGCTCCAAAGGACAACCTCACCTGCTTGGTAGCTCTGCCCAGGACAGCTACTGTTCCCTATTCACGCTTTGATGAGCTCATCAATTATTTCATGTGGATTAAGACCTCAAAGCAGGATGATGTATGTGTAATCTTTGGGTTGTACGATTTGAAAAACTTTATATTCTTTTTTATGCATTTCTTTATTTTCCAAGTGTTCTATAGTGAACACACATTACTGCATTTATGTATCAGAAGACAGCGAAGATGTTTAATTATATACTTAAGGAATGGAATGATCCTTTACAGAGAAAGGCATTCATTTTATTTAAGAGAACTGATAGATGATAGATGATGATGATAGATGATAGATAGATGATAGATAGATAGATGATAGATATAGATAGACAGACAGACAGACAGACAGACACAGACAGACAGACAGGAGGGAACCCACGGGCACACACTCCATCATGGTTCACCTGGACAAATGCTGTAGTCTGCTCCTGGTCCCTCTGTCTCTGCTCTTAGCCCCCTACAGGCCACTCTCCACACTGCAGCCACAGGGATCCTGTTTCAACTAGAGTCGAATCACACCGGTCCTGTGCCCCAAAATTCAGCGACTGCATCTCTCTCTCAGAGCCCAAGTCTGAGTTCTTATAAAGTCCTGCGAGGCTCTGCACAGCCTGCCTCCACGGCCTCTCTGGCCTCATCACCTTCCACTCCTCCACCACCCACTCAGCTCCAGCCACCCTGTCCGCTTCTGCAGCTCAAACACACCAGGCCAAGTTCTTCCTGCTCAGTCAGCTTCCTGCCCTGCTCTGCCCCAGCCCGTCCCACCTGGCACTCTCATTTTCTGCAGGCTCTGCTCAAACATCTCCTTGTCAAAGAAGGTTTCCCTGCCCAGTCTGTACAAAGGACTCAGCCTCCTTTATGCCCATCACTCCCTATTTTCAAAGCACTTGTCACGACACAGCATGTTCTTTCCCTCTTTCTCTATTGTTGGCCCCATTCCTTGAGGGTGGGGTCTTTTGCTGTGGCTTGTTGACAGCTGTGTCCCCACACCCAGAACAATGCCTTGTAGATACTTGGTAAATATTTAATATTTGTCAAATGAATTAATCTCCCATCTCCTGCTCACACAGGTGCACAGTCATTGAATACAATGAGTATAATTAAATTCCTGTTAGTGGAATGTCTATTTGATGATGGGACACCTCTGTATAATTAGGAATCTGGCTCCAACATTCTGTGTCCTGAGAAGATAATGATTGTCAGGCATGGGGTCAGGCAGAAGGGTTATTACAAATTATTGAGTTATTGCTAATAGTCTAACAGCCTGGAGAAGCTCAGCGGTGACCGTGAGCGAGCTCACAAGGGTGTTCAGTTCTTACTCTCTGCCTGAAGTTGTCTCAGGCAGGATGGATGCTCTGCTTAGCTGTTCCAGGCCTTCCTGATTTATTTTAATAATGGAGAAATATATCATTGTTTGACACCTGCATATTTTTTCTTGGGGGACGTCTTCCAGATTCAGACACCTCAGTGGCAAGTGGACATCATGGGCCATGACATGTGATTAAACTCTTTCTGTTCACAGTTAGCAATCCTCTCAAAGAAGCTGTGTGGCTGATGTCCCCTCACAGGTGAGGAAACTTACGTAGGTAAGTGACCTACGTGCCCAAGAGCACACAGTAAGCAGTAAGATCAGAGCAAGACACTATTATTACATCACAACCCATTTGGTAAAGGGCCTGACTTCTGCAGGACATGCTTAAAATGCAGGTAGCTGGCTAGGGCTTCTGGGGGCCGTACTCCACACTCACTCCTCCCCTGTGCCTGAGGCTTACCCCAAATATGTGGAGTCTCTCCCAACACCCACCTAGTCTCAATGCCAACTGGGTGTCCTCCAAATCGGTTCACCTGTGACACTGAATCCTGGAATCAGTGCAGACCCCACAGGTTAAGGGCTCAGTCCCACAAGACAGCCCCACTTGAGATGTCAGTTATAGTCCCTGGGATTACCATTCTTCTGACCAACAGGCTAGAAACTTGAGGAACCCTTGACTCCCTACCCCCAGGTTCAAGAAGTGACTAGAACAACTCAGAATTCAGGAGAGCACTTAGAGTTACCAGGTGATTGTGAAGGACTCCAGGCAGGCACAGCCAAGTGGAGGGCAGGGTAGGGCCGGGTGGGGTGGGGGGGTACTCAGAGCGTCCACTCCCTCCCCGGGCACGTCACCCTCATAGCACCTCTTTGTGTCCACCGACCTGGAAATTCTCTGAATCCCCGAGGTTTAGGACTTTTTACTGAGTTGTCATGAGGCAGGCAGGAATGGTCATCATTGGCCATTGACACTTGACCTCTGTCTCAGTGCCCTCCCTCCTCCCCAGAGGTGGTGCTGGAGGGGTTGAGGGTAGAGCCCTTCCAGAAGCTGCCAAGGGGCCCTGCCTGGAGTCATCTCATTAGCATACAGAAGACAGAATATTCTAAGAGTTCTAGAAGGCCTGGGCCAGGAGCCAAGGTTTATCTTTTTACACTGTGGAGAGGTTTAGGGAAGAGGTAGAGACCAGGAATCAGGAGTCCTAGAGACAGGGTCCAGGTCCGTAGACCTGTCTGGTGAGCGTGAGGCAGGATAATGTCTTCAAAGTGAAAACGTGTTTACTTTCTAGAGTCATGGAAAGTTTCTGGAGTTAAACTTTCCTAAAGGCCCCAGAGAAAGAGAGAGAGGTTTGACTCTTCCAGCCCCTACCCGCAGAGGCCTGGTGAGCCGAGACTTACCCCGGGGAGGGCTGCTGGTCGTCTGCCCCTGGGTGCCGGCCGCCAGGATGCCCAGGAGGACCAGCAGGCCTGCCGAGAGGCAGAGGTGGCTCATCTTCCTGGTCTTGAGGACAGGCTCTGAGGAGAGCCGGGCACTGGCAGGGCTTTTCATATCCCAGATGAGGGGTGGGAACAGGTGTTGGGGAGGGGTGGGGAGGGGTGAGGAGGGGCTGGGGTCAGGCTGGGTCACTCCAGAACCTCCCTACCTCCCCTGACTTTCTGCTTCTCCCTCAGGCGCAAAATTCCTCAGTAATAATGAAGGACGTCTTCCAGATTCAGATATTATTACGCCTATGAATTTCCTGAAGATCTTGCTGAAATGCAGATTCAGACTTAGCAGGTCTGGGGTGGGGCCTGAGAAACTGCATGTCTAACAGGCTTATTGGTGCAGGCCTGAGAAACTGCATTTCTAACAGGCTTATTGGTACAGGCCCCAGCCCGTTTCCTCTTGAAGAAAATGTTCCTCGGTGTGGCCCTATCACATTTTGAGTAGCAAGCCTGGAGGAAACCCCACCAGGAGTGAGAAAGGGAGTGGACAAAGAGAAAAGCTGCCCTTCCCACTGTAGGGGCCCACAGCAGGCCACCCCCAAGATGTGCTGCACGGCATATTAATAACTTTGAATTAAAGGGACTGGAAGCAAGCAGTGTAGGATGAACACTCTGACCCTCCTCTGTACCCCCTGAAATCAGGAAATGAATCCCATGTGAAAAGTACCTTCTCTATCCTAGGAGGTACAGAAACATCCTTACCACCAAAGGGGGAATTCAGAGCCGAGAAGGATGCATAAACAAATCTTGTTACTTTTTACTGACTTACTCTCCTAGTTCGAATGCTGTTTAGAATTCCTTCCTAGTGGAAGGTCCCAAACATAAGTTTTCTTTGTCCTGTCAGTTCCTGCAGATTGATTGTCTCTGTGGCTGAAGTGTGTGAAAACTGCCGGCCTCGGTGGTTTCTGTGGGCCTCAGTTTCATTCTTGGGCCTCTGTGCGCACGGAATTAAACTTAAGTTTTTTTCTCCCATGAATCCGTCTTATGTCAATTCTATTCTTAGATTAGCCAGAAGCACCTTGAAGGGTAGAGGAAAGTTTTTCGTCTCCACCACCTCCCACCTTGGGGAAGTGGCAGAGGAGAGGAGACCAGGAAGTGAGTCTCAGAGGCCCCGGGAGTTCTCACCCACTCATCTGCTCTCCCCAGAGTCTCTACCTTTACCTTACTTCTTTGGAATGGTCACAATTTCTAGGAGGCAGCCAGTACAAGTCACTTGACTTTTACAAAAATGAATGGATCTCTTCACCCCACCCAACTCAGAAGATGAAGCGATTTAGATTTCAGCATACTTGCAACACCCTGATCTGTGTGCAGAGCTGGTGATGCCTGGTATTACAGTGTTGCCCACACGCAACAAATACAGAAAGACCCCTCTGCTCTGTTGGTGCTGAATTGCCAGGACCACTAACAATCGCAGATACCCTTGGGAGAGGAAGCACGTGAATTCCTACATCTTACTGGAGACAGACTCAACTGGTAGTGCAGAACACCACGGTGCTTAAGGCGGCCTTTTCCACAGTCAGGAGGACCTGGGTTTGGCAAATGACTTGCTGTTTCTGGTCCTCGGCGCTCTTATCCTTATCGGTAGAATGGGGTTGTTTATGAAATCAACCCCCATGTTTAGGGTCCTTGTGAGGTTATCTGAGACTGATGAATGTGGAATGCTCAGCTCTGTGCACCTGGGGAGTTGATGTTCCATCAGGGTTTCTATTATGATTGTGATTGTCACACCAGACTCCCAGTAGGAAAATTTGTATCTGACTGTGTCGAAATAAATTTCCAGGCCCCCAATGGAGCTGATGAGAAGGAAAATTTTCCTCTACTCTTCAAAGTTTCTTCTGGCTGGTCTAAGAATTAAATCAACATGAGACAGATTAACAGTAGAAAATCAAATTTAATTTCGTAGGTATGAGAACCTCACAAAGGCGAGAGGGTCAAAGACAGAAACGTACAACAGGATATCTCTGCCATCCTGAGCTAAGGGCTGGGTCGGGGCCTGGGGCTTTAAAGGGGAGGAGGGCAGTTCACAGGGCAACAAGAAGAGCAGGTGTTCGGTAATTAGATGTTTGCCTGGCCATACAGATAGCCACTCAGATAAAATTTATCTCGGGTAGTAACTCTTACTCTGGGAAAGATCCCAACTTAGATACTCCTAAGTAGTTAAGGGGAGGGCAGAACTTTCTCTAGAGTCGCAGGGTCTTGATTGCCTTTAGTTCAATTAGTCCATATGCCAAAGCATATATATGTTGTATAATATTTTGGATATATTGAGTTAAATAAACTATTATTGAAGCTAGGCACATTCTGGGGCAGCCTGCCGTTGGCCCCCCGCTCCTGCCTGGGGGCCAGGTCAACAAGCTGAGACCTAACCTGCTTGTCCAAGTGCTCTGTCTGAGCAGAAACACAGCACCCAGCCAGCCAGCCCCGGACGCCAGGCCGGCTCTGGGCTCTGCACTCATTCCCTGCTCCAGACTCATTTTCTCTTCCTTGTTCTTTTTTCTTTATCCTATAACAGCCCCCTGCTTTCTGTCCCACTTTGCAGCTCTCTGGACCCTTGGGAACAGAGACTGCCCACTTTGTGAAGAGTTAACGTTACTGTGTCTCACCTAAATTGCCTTCTTTAATCATTTTTAAAACAGTTTTTGGTAACGAGAATGGGATCTGAAGCTGACTGCTAAGAGCCTGTTGAACCACGAGAAACAGGTGAAGCGCCCACTGAACACTCTGAGGTCACAGTTCCAAAGGCCATAGATAAGTCACTCTCATATTTGAGCTCTGCTCCCTTGCATGCAGCTCTCTGATCCAATTAAACTTTATTGAAATATGTATATTCTTAATATATTTATATACATATATATGTATGCACATATTGATCCCAGAAAGGCTCTAGGATCCCGGAAAAGTTACAGGACAGTTATATTGGGAGTCCACAGTGGGTGGCAGCCGTTAGGGGGACTCACAAAGCCTTGATGTGAGGCCACAGCCCTGTCCACTGGGGGACTTGGGAAAGACAGAAATTCCAACTGTTTTGATACATCAAATTCTAAGTAGGCACAAGTCATAAGGGTGTCTGCCAGTATAAGAAATCTCTTCATGAAGGAAATAACAGATCAGTTGTGACTAGGAATCCCAGAAGCCAAAGCCACAAGATTGGTGGGCAGGGGTCAAGCACTATAAAGTTGTTAGAGCATCCACCACCTACATCCAAGATCCCCCTGCGAGGACAAGTCAGCCATGTGCCTGTGTGACTGACCACAGCAAAAACTCAAGCGAGCATTGCTGTCTCGGACTGGGGAATTAAGCCCATCTCTGAGACCTGACAAGGAAGAGGCATTTGGGAACCTGCCTCGTTTCCCCTGGGCTTCACCCCATATGCTTTTCCCCCTCTGTTGATCTTACTCTGTGTCCATTTGTACACTTACATTCACAACTTCTGAGTCCTGTGAGTCCTCTTAGTGAACTGAACCTGAGGAGCATCTGGGGGAGTCAAACACAGGTAGTTTCCATCATTACCTCCAAACAGAAACTATAGTCCCTGTAAGTTAAATAACTTGTCTGAGGTCACACAGGTAGCAAATGGCAACGCTGGAATTAATAAATTGTCTGTCTCCAGTGGCCATGCTTTTAACAACTAGTAGAGACAAGTGAAAATAACATAACATGTCTCTCAAACAGAAAACTTATTCAAACACACAATACAAAAAAATTTCCCCTTCCAAAAAATCTGTATAATGAAAAAGCACTCCATGTTATGGTTAAAAAAAAAAAAAGAAATGCAGAATAATTCCAAAATATTTTTGTTAAGTCACTGAATCTTAAGGATGTATTCATTCAAGTAGGAAAAAACTACCTTATAAGGGAGAACAACATTCAGGCCAGTCCGAGGCAACACTTCACAGCAGAATTAGGTGGATCTAGGTCCACAACTGTTCTGGAAAAAGATGGTATGACCCAGGATTTCTCCCCATTGTTACCAAGTCCAAGCTCATACCACTTGCCACACAACATGCCAGTAAGTTGAGAGACAAGGGGCTGGAGCAAGGAAAATGACTATTCGGAAAGCCAGTGGACAGAGAAGATGGTGGACTAACGTCCTAAAGAACCATCTTAACTCAGGTTGATTTCAAGCTTCTTTTGTGTTCAGGGAAGGGAGAGCTATTTAGGGAGTGGCTGAAGGCTGTGGACATCAGGGCTGAAGGCTGTGGACATCTGGGGACCAGCGAGGGTCCACGGAGAGCTGAGAAACTCTGTCCTTGGTTAGTTCACTCACATGCACATAGCTCTGGTCATGATGCACCTGTTAGTCTTTGACAGGGCAATCATTATTTTCATACATATTTTCCTATCTCCTAGTAGGACACAAGCTTTGGATAAGGGGTCATTTGCAGATATCTCAAACTGCAGGAAAAATTCCTTTTGATGGTTAACAAGTCTACGTGCAAGTTTGCAGGGCCCTTTTTTTTTTCTTTTGACCCAAAGGTAAAGCAGCAAAGGAGACAAATACGATATGGAAGCAGAGATGCCAAGCTTCATCTACCTTTTACACCATCAAATTATCCTTTGAGTATAAAGGCAATCTGTAAAACTTCAGAGAAAAGAATACCTGTAAGCTTTTGTTTTTGTAGAATTATTTTTGTTTATTTACTTAACACAATGTTTAGGAACTTAACCAAGGTTGATAGCTTCTTCAGGGGGTAGAAGTTCACTGTCTGATATGGTGACCAGGAGCCACATGTGGCTACTGAGCACATGAACTAGTTTGAGTCGTGATGTACTATGTGAAAGACAGACACACCAGATTTCAAAGACTTAGTACAAAGAAAAGTAAAATACTACATTAATGTTTTTATACATGTTAATCATATGTTGTATAATATTTTGGATATATTGAGTTAAATAAACTATTATTGAAGCTAGGTTTACCTCTCTAGTTTTTAAATGCAACTACTAGAAAATTTAAAATTCTATTTTTGGCTTGTCTTATATTTCTGAGGCACAGCACTACGGTAGAATTTGGGGAGAGATTTAGGTTCTTGTTTGCACTGTTCAGTAGAGCCTGATCTTTTAAAAATAAGTATGATAATTTATATAAAACAAAAAACTCATTATTGCAGAATTAAATAAATAAACCAATGAACAAAGAGCTGTTTTCTCTCCTGGGATGTTGAGACAACTTGCTGGGAGGCTCTGGATGGGAACCAATAATAACAGAATGGACAATGGCTGTGCTGGGTCTTTAGGGACCATGTTGATCAGCTCACTTGTTTTACAGTAGGGAAACTGAGGCCCAGTGAATCACTTACCAGTGTAAGGTCACAGGGACAACGGAGATGAGGCTGGGGATGGGCATTCCAGTTACCACAGGAGCACTGACTTAGGGGACTTGCTCAATAGCTCTCAAGATCCCCTCCAAGGCAGGTGACACTGCCTCCAGGTAAGGAGTCCAGTTCCTCTGGGATCACACCCCTTGCCCAGGGTGCTTCCTCTTTCAGGTAATGAAAAGCAAGAGACTTCCCTCGAGCCAGGGGAATACAGCCCCTTCTCCTTCAGCTGCAGGTAGGAGGTCCTGCCTCCCAGCCCCAGCCCAGAACGTGTGACTACGGGCATCATGAAGTCCAGCTGCCTCCCTGCCATCTGCTTTGTCCTCTGCCTGGTGGGCACGGCCAGCTCCGAAAAGACCTCAGGTGAGCTGAGGGGCTGGGAACGAGGGTCCCTGAGACTCATTTGTTTTAGAGTGAGTCAGACTTGGAGATTGGAAGTTGGATCTGGGTTTAAACTCCAGGCCTCAACTTCCAGGTTTTATGATTTGGGGAAAATTACCAAATCTCCCTGAGCCTCAGTTTCTTCATTTGTGAAGTGGGGACAGTAATACCCTCTCCATATGGTTTTTTAAAATAAGGCAAAGTATGACAGACACCTAGCCGGGTGTTTGGTGTAGAAGAGGTGCTCAGGGAAAAGTACTTGCCAGTTCATAAAAAGGACACACAGGTGAGGACTGTGGCGTTCCTGACCCCCGCAGCCAATCTCAAGCCAGGGGCCACTCAGAGCCCATCTGGACGCCCCCCTGCCCTGTGCCAGCTTCCCCCAGAGACGGGCATGTGCAAAGCCATCTTCCACCGCTTCTTCTACAACGCTACCTCGGATGAGTGCGAGCAGTTCATCTACGGTGGTTGTCAGGGCAACGCCAACAATTTCAAGACCATAGAGCTCTGTGTGAGGGTCTGCAGGCCCCTGGTGAGTCCCCTGACAGGAAACAGGGAGAGTAATGGAAGTGATGGGATGCAGGCTGTGAAGGAGTGTTGGTGAGGATGGTGGTGGGGACTCAGAGGGTACGGGGGGCAGGGAATGACAGGGGACACCTGTGTCACCAAGGGGCGGCCATGATGGGGGCGGAGGTGCAGAGGCTGTGGCGGGTGGTGAGCAGTAAAGATCAAGGTAATATTGGTTGTTGTAACAGGGCCTTAAATGTGTAGTGGTGCTGACGGGGGTGGGGGAGGGGGGTAGCCACGTGACCTTCACAAGGGGAGGCTGACAGAGACGATGACCGATGACCGTGATGGCAGCAGCGGTCACGGTGGGAGGAGACAGGCCCCTGGTGGATGCTGAAGGGGTTGCGTAAGGAGTGCAGCTCGAAGGCTCTGCCTCTAGGTCACTAATACGCCGGCCAAGAAGGCAGCTGACCGTCAACTACACTGAAGAGACCAAGGTCAACCGCAGCTGACGATGCTACCTGCACACCCTAGGCCTTGGCCGAAAGCTGCCTCCATGCCTGTGCCCAGGCCCTGTTCTGAGCCCTTCCTGTAACCCCCAAGCGTCCGTCAATAAAGTATGTAAAGTTGTTGTGGCCTGAAGCTGTCCTGTAAGGGTCCAGGGCCTGTCCTCAGAAATTGCTCACAGCCACCTCAGCCATCAAGGGTGACCAAACCCTGCATGACCCCACCCCTGCCTTCTCCTAGGCTCTCAGTGTCCCCAGGACGCAAGTTCCCCTATCACCAGGGGGTACACGTGGAAGGCCGTCTGAATGGAGGAGACTTGGGAACTTTGCATACCCGTCCCCAGTTCCTGGCTTGCTCTGTCCTGCCTGGGGCCCCATCATGAGCTGGGAGCCGCTTCCTTCCAGCAGTAGCTATGTTCGACGAGAGTGTGCAGTGGGGTCGGAATGCAGGGAATCTTGGTCAGCCTGGGCAGACTCCCTTCCTCCCCACCCAGAAGGATCCTGGAAAAATGAGGACTTTACGTATTTTTTTGACTGTGGTAAAATATATACAACATAATGCTTACCATTTTAACCATTTCTAAGTGTACAATTTAGTGGCATCAAGAATACTCACGTTGTTATGCTACCATGACCACCTCCATTAACACTAACTCCCCATTCCCCCCTCGGGCCGAGCCACCACCACCTGAATTTCTGTCTCTGAGTCTGACCCCTCTAGGCACCTCATGTAACTGGGATCCTGCAGTATCTGTCCTCTTGCGACTGGCTCTTTCACTCAACATAATTTCCTCAGGGTTCACCCACGCTGTAGCCTGTGTCAGAATTTTCTTCCTTTTTAAGACTGAATAAAACTCTGTTGCTATGTAATTTTTTGAATGCCAGATGGGGTGACCACCATGGCCACCTCCCCCCATGAACCTTTCCTCTTGGCCTTCATTTAGTCCAATCACTTCCCTTGGCTGAGTAGGAAACTGCTGCCCCAAATCAAACAGCAACACTAGAAGTCAGAACCCGGAACTCCCAGCCAGACCCCTGTCCTTGGTGGGGTCCTTGGTGTTCCCTTCCCACCCCCATACCTTTCAGGTGTCCTGACATCCCCTCCAGCTGGCCAGGAGCCAATCTAGACCGTGTGAAATCATCTGAGGAAGAACATGCCGCGCAGCCAGCCCTCCCGAGGCTTGAGGTGGGGACCCAAAGTTGAATGGAATGCAGACTTTGGGCTTTATGCAAGCCTTGGGACTGCTTGAACTAAAGAGACATGAATACATAGATTCATATTTGAGAGAAAGGGCATGTTTTCCTTTTATTTTCCCACTCCTTTTCATGTTAACTTCTACCCAGATTGAGCTCTGGAAGACTGAGGATAGCTTTGACTTTTCACTTTGAAATAGTTTCTATGCACTGAAACTTGTACCATTATTAAAATATGACTAATAAAAATATTTGAAGTAAAAAAATACACATATGCACAAACACACACGGTAAGAGTTTAGCCAGTAGCTCAGGTCACTTTAAGAGATGGGACAAGAACTAAGCACCTGCTTGGAGCGAAATCATAACTAACCACCTTTTTCTTCTCTCCCAGAAAAATGAATGAACACTTCTGTGGGTTCACTGCAGCACAGCACTTACTCCCATGTGTTTTACACGTGTGTTGACTTATCTTTGCCTCTAGGCTGTGAACCGGGCAGGGACCATGTGGAACACACGTTTTGTAAAGGCCTTACCACATGGCGGGCACTCACCAGCAAACACTGAATGAATAATTAGTGAAGTGACCCTTGGATGTGTGGATTAATGGGATCTACCCCACAGCCATGCCAATGTAGCAAACACTGAATGAATAATTAGTGAAGTGACCCTTGGATGTGTGGATTAATGGGATCTACCCCACAGCCATGCCAATGACTGGTCAGTTTGGGGGCTCCACTCCCAAAATTTATCCCAAACCCAGTCAACTTCTCACCACCTCTGCTGCTCCCTCTCCAGTATCTTCTTCTTGATGAGTCTGTCACCTCCTCACCGACCTCCCAGTGTTCATTCTTACTCCCTACAGCCTGCCCTCCACACTGCAGCCCAAGTGATCTTTTATACAGCAGATCGAATACATTACTATCAAGGTGCTAGTTTTCTTGCTGGGTGCTAGGTTCATGGTGCCTAGTGCATTGAAGAGCAGGCATACACACGTAATATGTAAAAAGGGCCATGCGTGGACCGAGGAAGAGAGTATCCTCAAGCACGAATTATTAACCCAATTCTGTGCATCAGGCCAAAGAAAGTACATAAATAAATAAATGGAAGTCAGACCTCATCATTTCTTAGCTTCCCATCACATGTGGAATAAAACCTAGAGCCACTGCCTACAGGGAACCTCTTTTTTTTGGTTTTTTTATTGATCCTGTTCTCCAATATAGTGGTTACCCTCAATTTTAGGACTGTCTGCCCCTACAGGGCCCTCTTGCATCTGGCCCCTGCCAACTTCTCTGAACTCACCCGTCACCAAGGCCTTCCGCTCCAGCTCCAGACTTGTTTTGCAGACTCTGAATATGCTCCTGGGCCAGTCTTTGCTCTTCCTGTCCCCTCTGACTTGATTGCTCTTCTCTAGGATCTCATGGGATTTTCTCCTTTACTTTCTTCAGGTCCCTGAACATTCGTCACCTCCTCAGAGGTTTTATCATCCCTCTCATGTTTACCTTGCTTTCCTTTTCTTCAAGGGACTTAGCACTACTTGGAATTACACTATGCATTTATTAAATATCTCAGCTTTTTCCCTGCTGACAAAATTCCTGGTCCCTGTAGGCTTAATAGATAATAAACCAGAGAAGTAAGACACACAATATGTCAGACGGCAGTAAGAGCTACAGAGGAAACCAGGACAGGAAAGGACCCAGCTTGTAACTGGGGAAGTGATTTCCAACAGGGGCGGCCAGGAAGACCTCATCAATACTTGATAGTGGAGGCGGTGAAAGGAGTTGGCTTCTGGATTTATTTTGAAGGTGAAGCAAACAGATGTGTAGATGGGTACATACGGGGTGTGAGAAGAATCAAGGACGGCTCCAAGGTTTTCCACCTGGTAAACTGGGAAGATGAGAGTTGCCATTATCAGAGATGTGCCAACTGTGGATGACCATGTTTTGGGGAGCAGGAGAGGACCAACAGGACCTTGGTTTTAGAGATACTACACTTAAGTTACCTTTACACATCCAAATGGAGGTGGCAGGTAGGCAGCTGGGTAAGTGAATCTGGAATTCAGGAAGGGGGTCCAGACCATGAGTGGGTGTTCTCAGCACAGCTTACTTAGGACATGGTGGTGGAGTCATTTCTAGTTACTTGGCTGGGGGCGTAAGACAGCCAGACCACGATTCCTTGCTCCTCCGACTTGGCAGACATCTCGCTACATGCAGGTTGCTAAGACAACTTAGCTTCTGGTACCCACCCACCTGTGGCCTCATCTCACTTACAGCCCCCCTCACTTACTGCTTTGGAAGTGAACTCATGTAAAAGCATCTTGACCGAGTTGCTTTTGCCCGTGGTCGGGACTAGCGGACTCCCTTCCAACACACACATAATCACTTGTATGTTCTGGAAACAAGTTTGGAAAACCCTCAGAGGCAACCTAGTCCATTCTATACTGGCTGTATGGACATCAATGTGTCAGATTGCTACACTTATTCTTGAGGGGTTTCTAGGTGACCCTTGCCCTACCCATCGACACCCCTGGACCCCAGATCCTAGGCAGAGGCTCATACCCATTCATACATTTCCCATTTGCTGCTTGAGCACTTACACGGCCAGCTGGATAAGGTCTAGATGGAAGCCAGTCCGTGTGCCCCAGGAAGCTCATCACCTGATGGAAGTTCAAGAACAGGAACAGCCAGGGTGATAAGGAACATGGAAAGGTCAGTCCAGTGAACTGTGGAAGCAGAGGGGAGGGCTCCTACAGCAGCCTGGCTTGTCAGGGAAGACTTACTGGAGGACGCAACATCTTGCCTCATTTTATGAGTGAACCCAGCAGTTGAGGGGGTATACAGTTGGGTAAACAGGGCATTCTAAGCCAGACCACTATGATGGGAGAACTGGGAAAGGGAGGGACAGACCACAGGTAACACACAGTTGATGTCAAGTGTGACAGACGAAGAGAGAGGAGATGAGAGGTGGAGAGGGGAGGCATCCACCTAAGGGCCTGTTACAAGAACCCAGGGTTATAGAACCAGAAGGCAGGCTTCAATCCGACGGGCCTGCTTCAAAGCCTATGGGTGATCTAAGGACCACCAACACTAGGTCCTGAGGGGCCTGATAAAAATTTGAAGGCTGGACTACACCCAGACCAACTGAATCCACAGGGTCTAGACCTCAGGAATCTGCATTACTTTCACAAGAACCTCAAGTGATGCCGAGCCCCAACATGGTTAGAAAACCACCACCCAGATCTCTCCCACCTGTCCAGTTCCATCCTCGGGGTCAGGGGGCAGGTTCTCAGGGTTCCGGAAAGGCAGGGGATGATTCATTCTCATGGTCATACAGATGCTTTATAATCACTCCTAGCCAAGCCCAGGGAGTTCTGGGAATGTCAGATGAGGGTGGTGGGGGAGGGGGAAGCAGGAGATGAGAAGGAATTTCTGGCAGGGGTTGGAGGAGGGAGGTGAGTTTTGTTTGTTTGGGGTTTTAGGGGTGGGGGTGTAGGAGGTCCCGTTCAGGAACGCAGCTAAAGAGCCCAAGGCCCCAACCCTACCCACATCTCAAAGAGCCAAAAAAGCAGCCACTTTTATTCCGCAATCAGTACATTCCATCCACCACATAGTGATGAAAATTCTTCAGCACATTGCTATCTAGGTCAGGACTGACAGAACTCTCTGCTGTGATGGAAACATCTGTCCACACTGTTCAACAGTAGGCACTAACCACATTTGGTTACTGAGCACTTGAAACGTGGCTAGTACAGCTGAGGAAATGAATTTTTAATTTAAATTAACTTAAATTCAAGAGCCACCTTTGGCTCGTGGCTACTGTACTGTGGTGCAGCTCTAGGTGCCCTGGTAGTCCAGGGGTGGTTTGATTCAAAAGTCAACTCTGCGGAGAGCAAGTGGCAGAAAGAGCTCTTGGAGGTCACCACCACCCTTCT